ATACTATAACAATGATGTTCCAAATGTTGGCCCAACAGTTTACTGCACAATCAATGACGAATTCATATGCTTTGGTATGGTCTGTAATGGTAAATGATTTAAACACTGAATGAAAACCAATCCCGTGGAATTCTTCAGCGGACCATTCATCTGTTATATTTTCACTGAAAGAGATAAACAATGCTAAAGACCGGATAGGTCCAGAAAAAGTAAAATCCGTCACTTTATCTATAAGTAATCGATTTTGTTGCGAAAAACCTTCACGTGAGACTAGAGTATAATTAGTAATTTAGTACATTATAGATGCGATATATTAAGAAACGGATGAATGTTCACCGTTATTCGCATTTGATTTATTCGCGTTTGAATTGACTGAATGAGAATTCTGTCTTGGCGTGCAGTTCATTTCATCATATCCAGCAGATGAACAGGAAGACTGCTCATTACCGACCGTTTTGACAGGAATTTCCATATCAGGTGTTGCTTTATATAATGCATCCGGAATCAAGCCATTACTTGACGGATGAAATAACGGATGGTTATACATGAATGAACTATAACCAACCATTTGGCAACCATGATCATTAACAAACATGATTTTGGATAAATATTCACTTTATTTGTAATTTTATTATTGTCTTTAGCTTTTATTTAAAAAGAATCATTCTTAATTTTTCTTAGTAACGTCATAATCGAATTATATCATCATTAAGTGATTGGCTCTTTCTATACTAATTCTAATAAATTAGATTTTAATACTTTAATAAATTTTCTTTTTTAAAAATTATATAACCAATAAAAATTATTAAAAAATACTTGTATCGTTAATTTTTTAAGTGCATAATCTTTAAATATAGTTCTTTGAACTTTAAAATATTGAAATTTTTCTCTTAAGTACAATCTTGGAATTTGTCGAAATGCGATTAGGAAGCTGTCACTTATAAACCCGCTTAGCGCATTATATAAAATTACATAATTTCCAAGAAATTCTTTATTTTAATACTACAAAAAAAAAACTTCAAAGAAGTTTATAAATTAATAAATATACAAAAGAATTAATTTCATATATATAAAGGATAGGTAGATACGCGTAAAGTTGGTATTTTCATTATTATTAAACCCAAACTTATCAATACAATGTATAAACCAAAACTTATTATATAAGTTTATTGATACGTAGCAGAAATAATAAAAACTTATTACATTATAGTTGATTGAAAAATAATAAACGATAAGGTTCTTTTCATCTGCAAAATCACATTAACGTTTTGCTAATATCCAATTGGATATAATCGAGGATTAGAAATTGAAACTTGAAGGGAGGGTTGATCCATGAAAGCATTAGGAAAAAGAATTTTAATGTTGCGTCTCACAGTATAAAGCTCAGTATTACTTGGTAAAGTAAAAAATGACATGTGAGTTTCCATCTTTACGCTCTCTCTGAAGGCGAAACTATCCATAATAGTGCAATACATGGGTCAACCATGCTGACGGTTCATTTCTAATTCGAAACAATTATAAGAACTGATCAAGAATTTTATATTTGAAAGTTGTCATCAAAAAGCTTTCGAAAATAATAGTTTTCATGTGTAGATGGACAGTCAGAGTATTCAGACATCCTAGAAAATATGAACCAAAAGTCAGAAGAGGAAAAATTTTAGTTGAACGAAAAACAAAAACTGAGAGAATAAATAATAGAAAATTGTTATTGTTCAAATGTGAAAATGTGTATCCTTCCGTTAAATAAAATGACAGATAAAATGATACGTATTCAATAGGGACACCCCAATTATTGCAAAATTTAACCCTATTGTTATTTGATTAATAGATATATAGTAAGAAATTAACAGAGTTAAATTTAAAATAATCAGGTAACTCTATTAGATCTCCTTTAGAGCAAATATAATTATTATAAAAATACAATATACTGGTATAAATTTAAATTGTCCCAATTGTCCCGAACCCAATACTGGGTAAATGAGTCCCGTTGCCGTCCAGCCCGGCTCGGCTCGGCCATGCCCGCAACACAGGTTGAGCCGAGTCTAGTACGTATCTATACGTATCGATATGTAGATTGAATTAAATCAAGTTTGGCCAATATTTTTAATATAGGTGGGTAAATATAATTATTATAAAAGAAAAAATAACCAATTTAAATCAATTTAAATAAGTTTATACGTAGGATTAAGGTTTAAATCATTAATTTTTAAATTTATTAATAACTTAAAAATTTATTGACAACCGGTCTTATAAATTTAAATAAAAATAATTAAAATTTAATTATATATATATATATATATATCATTTTTTGAAAGTTAAAATAAAGATAATATATTCTAGGGACACTGTCCGAACTCATCACTGCCTTTACCATATTATATATTCTTATAATCAGTAACTCTTCTAATGTTTTTAATTTTACAATTCAATTAGAACATTAGAAGAGTAGCCGATTATTACGGTTCTTTGGTTTCGTTTATATTCATAATCATTTCACAAATATATATGTATATCTATATCTTTTTTTTTTTGGTATTAAAGTGACCTCTTGGTCATGTGTGCTTTATTACTTTCGGAAGTTATTGTACATATTTGGAGAGTACATTCTAGTCATACCTGCGCCTTTTGAGCGCCTAATTTAAGTAGTCTGCCTATCACTAGGTTCTACACTAGATGTCGTACCTATAACCCACCTATTATTTGGGCCCAATTAAACCCTCTGCGCCTAAGTACGCCAAGACCTACGGTAATCGGTTCCCTTCGTCCTAGTCTATGACCAGTTACCCGGGCTCACGTTCACATGATGACTTAATGTATATCTATTTAAATAAAAATGGAATTGTTGCATAAAATCGGCATTGCATATTCGTGTAACATTTGTGTAACATTCGTGCATACCATAAAGTCGAGGGGTTTATTACATTTTTTATGTGGCCCCGACAACAGCAGAGACAGTGCCTGATCCAGAGTGAATCCCTCTCTCCTGTGATCAATCACAAATTAAATTATTTATATTGG